CACACACGCACATCCACCCTACCTTCTGTCCCCCATTCCCACACATTCTTTTTCATTTTCCCCGTCAAGGTAAACAATTCAATTACAAGGGGAAGTAAGCACCAAAAAATACAAGACCGTGGGTCCATTGCGGATGGGATCGGGTCGGGTCGGGTCGGGTCTTGGGTCGATCGTCCGACCCGTCCCTTGAAAACAAACGTGTGTGTTTCTGAGGCGACGAGTCGGGCGCGATCGGTTTGTGCCACGATAGCTGCTTTGCGCCCTCAATCTGGCTAGCAAGCCGACTCGACCCGGTCCCCCAATGGTCAACTCGTATAAGACTGGCAGACAGGAAGAAAAGAGGGTACTGCTTAAGTTAGAGTTTTAGGGCGCCTGCAACCAAAGAAGGTCATAATTTGAGCGCGCGAAATACAAATTGGTTGCACTCACTACAGTTCACAGCATGGCTTGGTTTTGGCACATTTTTCGTTTAAAATTTCGGTCTCTAAATTATGAATAGAAAAAAAAATAAGATAAAAAGCAGGAGCTTCCGGTATCGCCTTTCAACCACTCACTTTGCTCCTTAAAGAAATGAGTTCGATTTCTGCGTGGGAAAAAATCTAGTTTATTGTGTATCTCTGTCTGTGTGTCTCTTGTGATGTTGTGACACATCCGGCAGCCGCTTCCTAAATGAAATGAATTGGTTCGTTGTGTGTAAAATATTAATAATCATTATTAATAGATACATTTTTACATTAATCAGTATTTTAGAAAGAACGAGAGAAACAATGATTTTTTAAGGGTTGACTTTGATTTACCAAAAAAATACAAATTTTGATGGTAATGACAACTGCTTCACTTACTTTTCAAAAGTGACAAATATTTGGGCACTTATTACTTTATTGAGTTGCAAATGCCATAAAACGCTTTCTAAAACTAAACAAAAATGTTTACTGTTACTCATAACCTTCTACACCTGAAGTTTCAAAGTGGGATTGTGCTGTCCCATTTGAAATAAACAAGCACTACAGGAAGAGAAAAGTTCCATAAGAATTTACTGTTTGTGTGAATTTTAAAATGTTATTGATAGGAATGTCATTTATCATCCATGCTGTTTTCAAGGAAGTTTCTTCTGTAAAATGTGTATCCTGTTTCCTGTGACGTGGGCCAGTGACCTTAAACACTAAATAAAACACCTATCTTCAACTGCATAGTATGTCAGGCAACGTGGATGGATTATCGTCACATTTTTTACACGTATATACATACTTACAATTTTTTTGAAATTGTCTTAAAGTTTTGGAATTTGGTTACAGAATATTATTATTATTATTTGTATTATTATTATCATCATTATTATCATGTAGGGTTTATTTTCTTTCGTTGCTTCACCCTTTAACTTGGCAACTTACCAAACATCTGGTTGGTCTCATCCAAGATGGCGCCAAAGGTGTGGGTGTGTCCCAGAACGATCCACGTCATTGTGATCACACGGATGCCCTGAGGATGCAGGGCAATAATTGGGACCATGAGAATCAGAGTCGTCTAGCTCTACTTTTGGTTGAAAAAGGGAATTACGAACAACAACAACAACAACAACAACAACAACAACAACAACAACAGCAGCAGCAGCAACAAACAACAACAACAACAACAACGCCGACAACAATGAAGAGCGGTGGCCCTGGCGAAGAGCATGCTGTTTTAGGGCTCTAAACAATTCGGAAGGATAGGCTACCACACACACATGCAACTACAACAAAAAACAAGAAGAAGAAGAACAACAAAAACAGCAGCAGCACCACCACCGCCCCCACTACCACCACCAATAACTACAACTAAAGCCGGCCTCCCTCAGAGCAATCCTTTGAATTTAAGTTCAACTACCAGAAAATCTTTGAAAATACCCGATCTCGAGAGAAACTTTTTTTTGACAAAGAGGCGTGAATGATAGTGATAGTCTGTTTTGACCGCAAGTGGAGGTACAGACCGTTCTTAATCCCAACAGAACGGAACAATCGCTACAGTAGGCCTACCGGTATTATGTTTACATTCGTGGATGATTGCTTAAGAGAGAAGCTGCCCTTAAATAACCCCAGCCCACCCCAACATTTTCAGCGTAGCTTTAGGGCTTTAGTAAGAGTTTCACGGCACTTGACCACGGGTATATAATATAAGTGTCAAAGATAAGAAGTGTTACTAAAGAGTAGGATAACATACAGAGAAAAGAACGAGGACAGATAGGGATGACATAGTATATGTATGAGAAGGATAGGAAAGGAGGAGCAGACCACCCACTAATCACCCATAAACATTTTCATGATAATTAGAAGCAAAATACTGTCTAAATTGCCCCCCCCCCCAAAAAAAAACCCAACAAAAAACAAACAACAACAAACAAACAAAAAACAAAAAAAAAACAAAAACAAAAACAAAAACAAAAACAAAACAAAACAAACCAAACTCCAAGAACGAAAAGAATAGAAATAAACAAAGAAATGTTGAGAATGTATTTTGCAAAAAGGATACTGTCTGAATAATAGTGTTCAAAATAAGACCAGCTGGCAAAAAGGACTAGTTTTTTTTTGTAGAAACGACTTTGAAGATACGTCGTTAAAAGGCATGAAACTGTTGCTGTAAGAGCAGACTCACCTGGACACATTGGTAGACACCTTCAGACGACTTCGTCCTCACCAATTTGGCGAAGTTCGTGTAGAAAGAAAATATCTTCACAATTTGGTGACCTGCGGAAACACATGTTTGTACCATAAATTGTGTAGAATTATATTACATCATATTGTATCATATTATACTATATTATATTATGTTTTGATGTTAAATAAGTACGCTACTACCTCACACCACAGCATGTTGCATCATTTTAGTTTTATATCATATTTTGTTGTATCATATTGTGTTGTATTATATTGTAACAAATTACATACAGTACATTACATTACGTTACGTTACATTATGCCACACACACATATACACACATACGCACATAATACACACACATAGACACACATATACATACATTAACCCATATTATACAAACACATATTATACAAACATATATGCACACACATTCATACATACACACACAAACACACGCATACACATACATACACACATACACACATACACACATACACACATACACACAAACATATGAGTAACAGTTGATCTGTCTTCATTTCCAAGGCTAATAGAAGAAACAATACCTGTTCCAACGGGTCTCTTCCCCTTGTTATTTCCCCCTCTGCCCTTTATAGCAACTTCCACGGTCTCCTTTCTGCCTTTGGCCTCCGAGATTTTGCTGTTCTCCTCCCTGCTCACATGGTTATTGTCTGTTGTCTGGACAGAAAAAACAACAACCACAAAAGGAGTATATTATAATCTTACGAAAATGTACTGGAGGGAGAGAGGA